AGGTCTGAGCTGTCGAATGGTTGATGGCTGAAATCGAGAGTTCGCTTGGAAAAGTAAACACTTGTTGCTTTGTTTTTCTCTGTTTATTCTTTAGAAGCGGGGTTTTAGTTCAACGGGCTCGCATCTTGTGCCGGAACTGTGGAAAGATTCATTCGAATATCTTGAATTGTTTTCCCATATTTTTTCCAGACATCTTGGAGGTTAAATATAAATGTAACAGGTAAACTTAGCTTAAGAATATAGCATTAGCACTAATCTATTGTACAATTTATACCACACAGTGTAGTATTACTTTTTCAACTTTCCCCCCGTGTAAAAATAATTTAATTTAATTTAATAATTTCAGCCAATTCCTTATGGGCCACCCCATAGATCCACTTTGGTTAACAATGAATGACACGAATTAAAATTGGAAGAGCTTACAAATGGCGCACAAACATGCTGACGTCTCTTGAATGGATGGATGATTGCTGGATGACTGGAAAGACGGGCCAGTTCCGATTCCGAAGCGATTTGGTTGCGGCATTGGTTGGGGCTGTTGTTGGTTGCATCGTTGTTGCAGGTTGATCTGGTTCTGGTTCTGTTACTGGTACTGTTGGTAGTTGTGGTGATGATGGTTGTATATATATTCAGGTATACAATAGAGAGACAAGACATTAGTATAAAACCGTTTCAATAATTTAAAGAAGACAACAAACATTAAGCCTAAGCCTTAATATTAGTTTCAAAATCAAGGGAAAAGGGGTAAAAGGGAATTTAAAAAAATGAGAGGATAAAAAACAGAGAAACCAAAAGTTGTTTTCAGCAAACAGCACGCTGGCTTCACGCTGTTCCCTGACTTTTGCTAGATCAGGATATTGTTTCCGGTTTCTTTGTGTTATTAGTAGACCGGAGACCTTGAGCCAGCTTCACTTGATTTCTGCAGGCGTAGCCGTCGATTGAATAATTTATTTTCTGCAATATTTCAATCAGAAACTTTTTGGCGACCAACTATGAAATGATGGAAAATAGGTGGTGTTCATTCAACCCAATTCCAAGTCCAATTCCAACTCCAAGATTAGTGGCAAACTCTGTAGAAAAAGGTTTATCCAATCCGACGAAATACGACATGCTCCGAAACCATCATCCTTCCAGGAAGAATCGCATGCAAATTTCGGGCAGTTGAATTCCCAACCAATATAGTTTCCAAATTGTGTTCTTCCATGCTCGTGGATGCAGTTCCTTATTGAGTTACACAGATGATTACATGATTTATATCCGAAAATTCCGTTTCCTCAGTGTTGTCGCTTGGGGAATTATTTCTCTTTCATATAACGAGAGTTTTGAGGTAGTTTCTACTAATTCGTAGATCGAAATTGTTGGAGCGCTTGCTCAGGGTAAGGGTCAGAATTGTTTTAAGAAAGAAAACTTTCGTGGAAACGCGAGCACTAAAGGTACCTAAATTATTTACAAATTGGGGCGAACAGGGGCGGGGATTTTGCGTTCCTAAAACGAGTACCTCTCTCCGAGAAATTCGGAAATGGTAGGTACAAAGGGTAAATGTGTTTTCCTAGAGATGTGTTTGGGATTGCTTCAAATTGAAATGGCAGCAGCATTTTTGCAATCAATTTGGGCACCGTTTGCGGCATAAGGCAAACTGAACGTATCAAGCCATTCTTTGCACTTTTCAATGTTATCAAAGGCCAAAATATTGCTAACATATTCGACGCTAATGCTGGGACGATAGCTGAAAGTGAAATTGAACACATTAGCCACTAATCATTCGAAAATCAGCATCACATACGATTTAATGATGACACGCAGAGCGGCCTTGCGTTCTCGTTCCAAAAACCATTCAATCATGTGGCCCGACATGAGGGGCGCTGTCTTATATAGAGAAAACAACTTGCAATAGTTGCCCAACGACCAGGCCGAGCGGAATTGCAAGGCATGCTCAATAGCAGGATTCACGCGTTGATCAGCTGATATCGATCGCAGGACAGTCGTAATGTCTGCAAAGAAGAGTTGTAGTTAAGCTGTGATTGGGTTTGAAAATTCAGACAAACGTACCCAAGGTATTCTTTGTAAAGATATAGTAAAGTATGCGATATGCCGTAAACTCCATGGAATTGGGGCTTTGGCCACCCAGCTCGGTGTAGAGCATCTTCAGTTGCGTCTGGCACTGATTGAATTCCTCGTGATCGCCCTTCTCCATGGCAATACGTGCATGGGTCTCATATACCTCAACAGTGAACTGATCGCGAATACCTTGCACCTGAAAAAAAAGAGTTAAGTTTTATCCGTAAAACTGTTGCTAAAGCACTTACAGTTAGATCCTGCCTTAAGGACTTCAACTGATCACACGCATAATGATAATCCTGATTGGCACGCCACTTGCTCTTCACATTAGACAGCGAATGGGTAAGGACTTCGACGGGTCGCACTTCCGAAGGGGATGGTGCCTTTGTAAGGCGCAAAAACGATTTCTCTAAATCCCTACAAGTTCCTACAATGTGCAAATCGAGCAAATCTAAACTGCTAGACGGGTCCAAGTCCTCGTAGAAGGCAGAACGATGCTGCTGCTGATGCTGGTGCTGTTGCTGCATCATTTTCTTCCGGTTCTTGGCCGTGGTGAGACCAAATGGCGAACTTGCAATGGCGACGACAGATTTCTTAGCCGAGCCGGAGCTCTGCTGGGAGAAACGTGCCGCACGCTGTTGCAAGCGCGCTGTGTCATCATCAACGGCCCCACCTACGGACGACTGTTTCGAATAGAAGTGTGGCTTTTTCTTGGAATGGCCGGGATGCGATGCGGTGGATCCCGCTGCCGCTGCTGCCGCGAGTCTTTTGCTTTTCTTCATTAACATTTTCTGCTGCTTACGGGAGAGGTTCGCGTTTAAGGATATAAAATCCATAGATTCATTGGAACCCGATTTACGCGGAACTTTACGCGCCGGCGGACTGCCAGCATCGCTGCTGCGGGAACCCGAACGGGAACGCGAATGAGAACGCGAATAACGCTTCTTGTGAGTGTATTTCGATGAGGTCGAAGATGTTGGGGACCTGCAAGTGGATTCAATTAAGGGAAATTCTTACGCAAAGCAAATACTCGAGACTTACCGCGAACGACTCCTGGAATAACGCGACGACGACTGATGATGGCCGTAATTGGTTGACATTTTATTGAATTGATTCCCCCTTTGCTTGAATTGATTAACATTCGGCGACTTGGATGGCTTCTCCTGCTCCTGCTCCCGGTCTCTTTCCCGCTCCTGCTCTAGCTCACGTTTTTTGTTAAAATAATTGCTCCTTTCGGGCTGTGGCGGAGTTGCGTGGTTCAGTACCACCTCGATGCCGTCTCTCTCGCTGTGCACCGTCGGCATTGGCTCGTTGTCCCAGTCTCTGGTCCACAATTCATTTCGATTTGCCGCTGCCATGATCTTTCCCTTTAGACAAATGTCTATCTGATCCTTATCCAAGTCCGTGTTGCATTTGGAGTAGCATCGCGCCACATATTGATTCAACGAGTCTGGCCAGGAGTCATTGGAGGCCATCTGGAAGCTGTTGGGTCGCTTAAACGCTGCAGGAGCAGCTGGAGAGGAGCAGCTCTTTGGCTCCGGTGGTGTAGTCTCAACAATGCTGGGAAGAGCCTGGGGCAGGGGCGGGGGTGGCTTGCTTAGATCTGGTGTACTGGGCACCACCACATCGCTGATGATTGGCGGCGGTGGCGCTATGGGCGTGGCTACATTGTTAAACGGATTATTGTATGTATTTGAATCGAAGCTCGGGTTTTTGTTCTTGTTGTTTCGCTTCCGCTTCTTCTTGTTGTTGCTGTTGTTGTTGTTAACGTTATTTATGTTGCTATTGTTGTTGAACAATTGATTCGACTGCTGATGAATCTGTTGTTGCTGCTGAATCAGCTGTTGTTGCTGCTGTTGTTGTTGTTGTTGCTGTTGCAGAGGATTTGGTGCATTCGCCAAACGTTTTTGATTTAAATTCAAGTTAAAACGTATTCCTCCAAAATTCTTTTGCTGTTGTTGCTGCTGTTGTTGCTGTTGCTGCTGCTGATGCTGCAACTTGTTGTTTATTGGTTGAGTGGATTTGGGTGGTGGTGGAGGAGGTCCCAGGGGTGGAGGTGGCGGCGCCGCCAAGGCGTTGCTAAATCCGGGTGGCGCATTTGATGAACTTATCGTTGAGGTTACCTGTTGCTGCTGCTGCTGGTACCGCATATAGTACTGATAGTACTGCTGGTACTGCTGCTGGTAGGCGGCTGCATTTTGATTGGCGTACCACGCGTAGTTGGTCCACTGCTGGGCTGCGGAATTGGCCTGCTGCTGGTGTTGCTGCTGCTGCTGTTGCTGCATTTCCTGCAGCTGGGGTATCAAGGGCGGAGGAGCGCTCATGGCTTCGGACATAGTGTCCTCAGGGCAGAAACTCGTTTTTTTCTCTGGTCACCGCTGTTACGTGATGATTGATTTGCTGTTACCTTAACTTACCTTGTTAATTCAACTGTCTGGCTTCTGCTTCTTCTACGCCTCCCGCCCTAAATTTCACAATGAGTACAAAGCAAAGGGGAAATGTGCTAGTTAGTTCCCATGTCAATGCGTGTGCACACATGTATAGATGTATGTGGTGGCATGTGACGCCATTTTATTTTTAGTTTTTTCTTTTACCTATTATGGTTTTAGAGAACGTTCGATTCCCGCTTGGGCTTATGCGAATCGGTAGCACGACTCTAATAATAACTAAGTATGGTGGCGAGGCTCGGCTCGCTTGCACATGCACTTTTTATTTATTTGCTTTAAAATACAGAATTAAATTTTTGTAAATTTTCAGCACAGAAATTAGAAATACATATAACACCAGTGTGTCAGTATGACAGTGTAAAAAAAAATACCGATTGATTCTCATAAATAAAGCGAAACATACTCCACAAAATACTAGATTATGTACCGATATATCGCGAGTGAGTGAACGAACTTAACCTACTAAACCCCCGCTATTTAAACAGGAGTAACAAATTGAGTCAAACGATAAACAATATTTTATTTAACCACTATAATTTAGACATCTAACAGTTAAAAGTCCAGGAAGCGCCGATCTTATGATGCCCACTAATCGGGGCTTTGCCCTCGCAGCCCACATGATACATCACTTCAATATTTTCGCCTATTTTGGTCTGAAAGACGACACCCACGTTTCCATCGTCTCGAATTTTGGCCTTCAACAGGGATCCATCCTCAAGCTGGTATTGACATCCAATGGCGAACTTCTGTAGCTGCTCCTCGCCATAAAAGTTCATTTTCAGAGCCACTGCCCAGCTCTCGCCAATGCTCTGAAAGATCGAACCGCGCAGATCTTTGAAATTCTCCCTAGGAGTGTAGAAGGGAGGATAAATCAGCAGCCAGAATAACAACTAAATAAAACTAACAGCTTGAGGCCCACTTCGGTGAACTCGTTATTGTATCCAAAGCAGAAGGCGTGCTTGTCAAATGCCTTCTCCGCGAGGCTGTAGACCATACGGTAGCCCAGCAGATAGTTCGCAGCAGGCGCCACAAGGACGTACCCCATCAACGTGGGCTCCTTTACAATGGGCACCGACAACTCTATCTTGAAGGGATTCCGCTCGAAGCCGGCTTTCAGCTTGCCCTTGAGCTGGCATCTAGGGGAAATCCAATTTAAATGCAATGACATGGACAGAGAATTTCACTCACTCGTCCGTCATGAAAAGTGTTGTCCTCAAAAGGGAATGGGCTATGCCGCCTGCCAGCTCACCCCGCACTCCGAGCTCCCCTTGCAACTCGTTGCTGGTTAACCAGGCGAGGGATGTGTTAACATTTTCGTATTGTTTGAAGACCTCGAGGCCTCCAAAAACGGAAGTTAAGTGGGGATTTCCCTCTCCGAAACTACTCAAGACGACGTCGTTGTCCAACTTTGTGGAGCAACGAAAATGCCAAACACCAAACTTGTAGCCGCTGGTGAGACAATCCTTGGCCCAACCACCCACGTGGAAATAAGTGGGCATCTCACCCTCGTGCGCCGGCGGCAGCAATATCTCTATGTCATCTCTGCCTTTTGGCTTGGCCTGAGCTGTCGGTTCAGCTGCGGACTGTGGCTGATCCTCGGCTTCATCCTTCTCCTTTTCGGCCTCTCTTCTGCGCTGGAATATGCTGCTGATTCTTTTTTTATTAATTTTATCCAACGGAAACATGACTAATTAATTAAACTAAAAATTGTATGACTGATATAAAGCTGAAACTGCGTACAAAACTACTTCGTTTGAAGTTTCGGAATGTAAAGTGCTGAATTATTATTTATTTGAATATTTTTCTGTTGCTTTATAACCCTTAACCCACTTCAACCACTTTTAGCACTCCAGGGCCAAGCCCACGCCAAACTTATGATTGCCATCACTGATATGTCGGCCGTCCAGCAGTGCTGAAATGGAGGCAGTGACGCCATCCCGCAGCTTCTGCTCATAGCCCAGTCCCAGCTCCGCCTTGCTGTTGATCTTGCCTCGTATGAGAGCATCGCCCTCAAGGCGGTATATCAGGCCCACACCGACAGCAACGTCGCTGCCACCGCCCTGCTCTGATTCGCCTTCGGGAGCATTCTCTCCTCCACCGCCACCGCCGCCTCCGCCAGTTTTGGTTAGCTCTACCGCGGCATCGATCTGGTCATTAAGCTTGTAGAATAGCGAGGCTAACCAGGATTCCCCATCCATTCTGCAAAGATCAAGATGTGAGATTCCTGAATAAACTTGCGAGAGATGCCACTTACAGCTCAACATGGACTGTGGCCTTATCATTGGCCCAGCCTAGAGCTAACTTCCAGCTGCTGAGGGAAGTATCTCCAACATCAAATGTGCAGCCAACACCGCCCAGGAACTCATTGTGAGCCAAGACCAGGGAACAGTTCATCATCGGATTCGAGCTGATGCCCATGTCAGACAGAAAGTTGAATTTGTCCTGGGCATAGCCCAGCCGGAACTTACCATCCTTTGAGCTGCGGGGCAAATTAATTACGGAACCAAAGAGCAACTGTTAGAAATCCATACTCAGAGCTCGGCTGGAACTTGCCCTCGAGGGCCAGCATCAGGCCCTGGGACAGCTTATCTTTCTGCAGAATCTCCCCAATGAACCAACTATCTGTATTCCAACGTTCCGTTAGCGTCAGACCGTAGTCCTCGATTTTGTATTTGCTCTGCAGGGAGCCGACAACTTTGCTGTGATCCTGACTAGCGAAGCCAGAGCTGAAAAGCTCAATGGCCGGGCTGCTCATGGTCTTGCAGTCCAGCTGCCAAAGACCCGGATGATAGCCGCGCTTGAACAGATCCCTGGCTAACTTTCCCAATTCAGGATATGTTGGTGGTGCCATGGATGAAAGGGTTTTTAAATTTGTACTAAACTAATCTTATGTTATTATTGAAAATTTATGTGATATTGTGCCAGATTGGGATGTTGCCAGAAGGATGTTTGAATACGAAGTGGGATGCCTGGCTTTCTATGATTAAGCCTGGAGTTTATTTCACCATTTCGAGCATTTAGTTTTCATTTCAAACCATCTCCAGAGGCATCTACACATCCCTTACCATCCATTCAAATTTACCTTTACCACACCTCAACTCGGCATAATTTTCTTACTTTTCGCTTTATTTGTTCTGGTAAATGCACAACAAAAATGTAGTTTGTTTAATGATTGTGTGTGTCGGGTGTGTTCTGATTCCCCCTCTCCACTTCAAATAAGTTAAGCTTCGAGCAAACAGTGTTTGGTTTTTTCACTTTAGTTTTGTTTAATAGGTAAATGTATTTGTTTACCAACAACACATAAGCTAGTTCTCTGGTACAAACTACACAAAACTACATCCAACCCATTGCTCATTTCGTTGGCTGGCAGTGTCGCTTCTGCAGATTCTGGTGGAGCACGGAGGCGGTTGCGCAGGTGCTGGACAGTTCTGACAGCTGACCCGAAGTAATTGCTAAATGTGTGAAGATTCCTTTATCTTTTATGTAATGTGTTTTTGTTGTAGAATATTGGTTTTTATTTTGCTTGTTCTGCTTGTTGTTGATTCTGCACTTTTCTGTTTCTGTTGTTGTTGTTGGGAGTGTGGGGATTTTAGATAACTATTTTCCTCAATGGGGGAAAAATTGTTCGACTTAAGCCTCCAATTCCAAGCCAACGCCGATTTTGTGGCCACCGTCATTGAAGTTCTTGCCATCGACCAATGTGGACAGGGTCAAGGTGACGCCATCGCGCAACTTCTGCTGATAGCCGAGACCCACCTGGCTGGCATTGTTCACCTTGGCGCGAACGCTGGCATCATCGCCTAATTGATATTTGGCGCCGATGGCGAACTTGGTGTTGCTGCTGCCACTGGCCCACGACAATTGCACACCAACATCCAGCTTGTCCGAAGTGCGTTGGAAGATGGAGCCGCTGAACTCCTGACCATCGTTACTGCAAGAAACCAAATAAATCGATTATAGAACTAAGTAGAGCGACAGCAGTTTCGGCAGATTACTTACACGGCTGTGTGCAAGACAAAGTCCTTGGTTGTGTAACCAAGGGCAAAGTTGTTGGTGGTCAACTTGGTCTGTTGCGTATCAAATGCGGCCTGGTAGCCGGCCAACCAACCATTGTAGCCCAGCACAGCAGAGGCATTGATCAAGGGACCCTTCAGATCAATGTTGACATCCGAATCGGCCTTCACGTATTCATGGCCAAAGGCAACCTTGAACTTGCCGCTCTTGTTTCTGTTCGCGAAAAATAATGTCAGTAATCCGATGGGGGGATATCGAGAAATCGTGTGTCGCATACCCAGACTGGGGAGCAAAGTTTCCCTCCAGCGAGAGCTTCAGACCCTCGAGCAGCTGGTCCTGTACAGCCACCTCGGTGTACAGGGTGTTGTCTGTGTTCCACTTCTCGGTGAGAGTGAGGCCATAGTCCTTCACCTTGTACTTGGTCTCCAGGGAACCAAAGACCTTGCCCGACTCCTGATTAGAGTGACCAGCTGTGTTGAATTCAATGCCCGAAGGGGTCTTGGTCTTCAGGTCTAATTTCCACAGGCCAAAGTTGTAGCCTTTGCTGAAGATATCGCGAGCCTGCTTGCCCAAATCGCTGTATGATGGAGGAGCCATCTGAAAGGGTTGCACGGAGAGTTTTAATTAGCTGGTCCAAAATCGATAAAGGCCCAAGCCATTTATTGTAAAGTGTTTCATTTTGCCACCCAATTATTGCTAGATAAGCTGTCGTGGGGACTATCCACTCTAATCTTATCAGCTAAATTATGAAAATTATTTGTTGGGGAATGAAATCCTGCGATAACCTGCTGTAATTTGAAAGTGAAATGCTAAATGAGGAAAGCCAAGATGCCGAGCCTTTGACCAAATGTCAAATGACTTTTGGTTTCAATTCACATTTATTTTCAAGACAGTCCAAAGCTCGTACAAATGTACACACATGCATATGTACATATGCATGTATGGATGCTGCAGAGCGGTGCACAAAATGTAAGAGAGAGAGTAAGCAAGTTTTGGGTCTCGTCTGATCAATGAAATTTCACAAAAAACTGGTCTCGTTAGCTAAAATGGAACGGCTTTAAGCTATGTAAACAGCTATTCCATATTATAGATATTAAATCATAAATCATCTCAAGCGAAAATCGCCATTGAGGAGATGTTTGTGTGTAGTAACTGTAACTACAGTTACACTCCCATTTGCGATCTGCTGATGATTCTAAACTACCTCATTCCCCTTGCCATTTTGGCACCAATTACTGGTCAGCCAGCAGAGCAGCACTGCCAGCAGCCGAGCGATCATTGACACAAGCTAACTGCACATTGCAGACTCTGCTTTGGTCTCTCCTTCGTTTCTATTTACGTGTGACGTCAGGAATGCGAAACATGCAAACAGTTCACAGTCGTGGTGCGAATATTAGGCATGCTTTGGGAGAGAGGACCGGACCAGACCTGGGCGACAAATCGAGAAGGTGAATTATGAAAAGCAGACGGTGAGTTTTATGGCCAACAGCCAAACGGGAAATGACGAGCAACAAAAGAAAAGACGCGCCCCTTCCGAAAATGGTACATATAATGGAAATGCTAACGGATCTATCTATCTATTCTGTTGCCGTGTGATGTAACAAGAGAAAATCCCAGAAAACAGAAAACACCTCCCAGGATAGAAGTTTCTTAAATGTGACTTTGATTCAGGGCTTAGACTATCGAATAGCATATACACACATATGTACATCCATATGAACATATACTCGGGCTAAGGGGTGAGCGGGCTTTTCTGCACATAACTACATTGCATAACCAGAACAAAATCAATTTTATTTCAGTTAAAAAGAACTGTGCTAGGAAAGGTGTAACGCAAAACTATTGATTTTAGTGACGTCACATTTAGACCAGAGCCTGAACTAATATTGCCGCATCACACGCCCCACTTCACATGACCAACAGTCCAAAAACAAGAAAATGGAAAAAACGATAAGGAAAAAATAGAATATATATAGTAATGTGTGTGTTGATAAAAGAAACGAGTGAAGAGCTATGTAACATTGTGATAACGAACAAAATTTATCAAAACAATCAAATTGAGAGTTCTCATTTGTGGCGAATGTGTTACGCAACAGCACCTGCCCAGCAGCCGGCAGCTGCCAATGAACTCTTTATGCGTCGGAGAACGTGTGTATGTGTGGGTAGGCCGGCGACAATTCTCTCTAGCCCAAGTTTTTATCAGCTTGGTATACTTCGATGCATTGGTCATTAGCTGATAAATACTTTTTTCACCATCGAGGTAGCCATACAAATACAAGTGCAACCCTTTTCGGCTAATGAGCGTGTATACTTGCAAATTTTTTTCGTTTCGAGGTTATGAAATCACTTTCACTGGCGATTTGCACTTTGCTGTTTGACGAGTTTTTGTAAAGGTTGCCATTGCACTTTATAGCGACTTAAGCTAGTTTTACTTACTTTTAATAAGTTTTAATTTAATTTAAGTGCGAAACGCAGAGGAACAGAAACACAGAGACGACGACGACGACAGTGTGACCGCGGAATTATCGATATACCGACAGAACCTCGGAAATTTACCGAAATATACGCTTTCATTTTTAAAATATACTGTAAATATACCGTACATTTTAAATCATTTTCCTCGACGTTGGTCTTCTGTTCAACATAACCGTTTAGATGGGACTCGCAGCTATAAAACTGTAATCTTACTTGAATTATTATTCAATTCCACACATGACCGGCTAGTTTTTATGACTTTCCATTATTGAAATGTTTTCAAATTTTGTTTAAAGTTCATGCTTTTAAATGGGAACTACACGCTAATTACACATTTGCTCCTCATTAACTACATATTTATGTATTTATCGGCAGGGACACCTGACGAGGAAATTTGTAAGTTCATAGTGGAAGTGGAAGCGGCAGTGTGAAAATCCTGAAGAGCATGAAGGTTTTTTACATTTTTGATGACAAACTATCAGAAATGCGATGCTGATCACGAATTAGAATTCTATGTGGCCTGGGACATAGCTCTTAATGGTGTTTCTGCACGTTTTTACATTCGTTTTTATTCTATATTCTCATGTCATATAGTCATATTAAGTATTTAAAGTATTTACAGTATTATTTAATCATAATGCTTATAAAATAACAGTTTTTGAAATTCTTAAAAATAAGTTTGATTGATTAAACAATTTTAATGCCCCAAATATTTCAGAATAAATATGTTGGTTCCTTGAGGAAAACAGTTTGATTTTGTTGAGTAATGCATTTCGTTCTTATCCAAGCTCCGCAATATGATCCGACAGATCTGACAGAAGGACGACAGACGAACAGGCGGGCAAACATCCACATCCACCAACAACTATTTGAATATCATGGGTATAAAGAGGTATTTAAAATAATGGCTGGAAGTAAATGTTGAATATTAACTTGTGAATGATGTATTGGATAACGGTACATATCTGCTTCGAGCATGCTCCTCCTCCAGCGTTGCCTGGTGGTGGGAACTAAATGTTAACGCTGCCACTGTTCACTGTTCGCTGTGAACGGAAAACGCTTCCAATACAGATCTTAAATGTTTTTCAAATTTCATAACATTCTTTAATTAAGTTCAATCTAGCCAATGATTTATCAATCAATCAATGAATCAGCTCATATCTGGCAGAGACAATTGTTGACGCTGCAGAGGTTTCTCTATTTTTAGCAATCCTTCTTCTTAATTCCTTCTTAATTTAGTTGCATTTATCGATCGTGACGGAACAAAGCGCATTCGAGTGCAAGTGAAAGCATGTTGAAGGCGCGTCTGGAGCACGAGGCAGTCTTTGGCCGCTGCCTGGCTGCCGCTGAGCCCGTACAGCGCAGCGATTTACTTGTGGAGGAGCTGCCCTTCGCCTTCGGCCCCAAGAAGGACAGTGGCATCGTCTGCCTGGGCTGCCATCAGTACCTACAGTTCGGCGAAGATGGGGACTCGCTGGATCGCTGCGAGCTTTGCGATTGGCCGCTGTGTGGCGTGTGTGCTGGCGACGATGATGACGGCATTCATCACCGGAGTGAATGCGTAGTCTTCTCTGCCGCACGTGTCACATTCGCCGGCAATGTGAGCGAGGATGGCGTCTGTACGCAACTGGATTGCATAACACCTTTGAGGTTAGTTTGTGTGTGCTATTTAAGATGCTATTATTTTTGGCAGCCGCATACCTAAACGTGAGAACCACCGAGCAGCGGAACCACAGCAGCCACAGGCACAACGAACGTCAAAAAAGAGCAGCACGCAGCAGTCTCTTGGCAAAGATCAGAAGCAAATGGCACAGTGTTTCACGTGAAATCTGAAAAGAAACATAAATACTCAAAAATAATGCTTTTTCCATGTTTTTATGCCTTTATGTACATTTACATTTGTATATGTACATAACTTTAGATTTGTTTGCTGGCAACATTTGGTTGCGTTCTTGTCATGTTCGTCCCACTGTTCCTGTGCGGCATTCATGTTTTAGCTTGGGCAATGGTAAGACTTTTCGCATTCTAAATAGCAGATGGCATAGACTTTGCATTTACTAGTTAGTCTGAGAAATGATTTCACCTACGTCGTGCCCAGTAAATCGCACATCAGTGCAGTGGAGTGCGGTCTGTGGTCGCTACTTGGTGGCAGAAGGTTCAACGACAGCCCGCAGTACTCTCATTGAGGAGCAACCCTTTGCCGTAGGCCCCAAGTGCAATGGACCGGTGGTCTGCCTGGGCTGCTGTCGACCCACAACCGATGTGGAGGAACTTTGCGTCCAATGTGGCTGGCCGTTGTGTGAGGAGTGCGCGGAGAGAGAGGATAACCCGCATGTCCACCTGGAGTGTCGCGAGTTCCAAAAGTCCAAAGCTCGCTTCTACAACCTTCCCTCGGGTAGCAGCTTTTGCCCACAACTGGATTGTATTTTGCCGCTAAGGTGAAACTTAGCGAACAACAAACACATTTTTCAGATCTCTGCCATAATATTTTCTCCCTCGTATCCATTGTAGGGTTTTGCTGGCGAAGGAGGCGAATCCCAAGCGCTGGGAGAACGATGTGGCGCCCATGGAGCACCACGAGTCGGAGCGGCGCCACAACGAGGATGTTTGGCATGCGGATCTCGTGAATATAGCTCAGTACCTGCGCGGTCCATGCAAGCTGGCCTCACGGTTCAGCGAGGAGCTCATCATGCAGGTGGTCGGTGTGCTGGAAGTGAACGCGATGGAGGCCAGAACCGCGAGGGGTTATCCCCTGAGGTGCCTCTATCCATACACGGGCATTCTAGCCCACAGCTGTGTGCCCAACACCGCCAGGAGCATATATCCCAGTGAGGGTTTCAAGTGAGTTTCATGAAAACTCTGGCAAACTCTTTCTGACGGCGACTCGCTTATAGAATCCGCTTGCGTGCCATGGTAGACCTGGACGATGGTCAGCCGCTGCATCATAGTTACACCTACACTCTGGATGGCACTGCCCAAAGACAGACGCACCTGCGAGAGGGTAAATTCTTTACCTGCAACTGCGAACGCTGCCTGGACCCCACAGAATTACAGACGCACTTCTCCAGTCTCAAATGTGGCGAGTGTGTGGAGGGTTTCCAAGTGCCCAAGCAGCCAACAGGTGAGCGTTTATCCGATCTTCAGGGCTACCACTGATTTATCTTTACAGAACTCAACACCAGTTGGAACTGCAGTAGCTGCGGTGCCAGCACCAGCTATGAGGATGTGCAGACACTCATTCAGTCCGTCCAGTCAGAGGTGAATGCTGTGCAGGCACTTGAAATGGGTCCGCATCGGCTGGAGGAGGCCGAGCGACTGCTACGTAAATACAAATCTCTGCTCCATCCGCTTCACTTCATTGCCACCACGCTGAGGCAGCTGCTTATCGAGATGTATGGCCGAGTGCAGAACTATGAGATGGTTCAACTGACTGACGATTTGCTGGAACGCAAGGCAGAACTTTGTCGTCAGGTGCTTAGCGTGCTCAATAAATTTGAGCCAGGTCTGAGTCGCTCTCGGGCCATGAATCTGTATGAGCTGCATGTGCCGCTGGTGCTGCTGGCGAAGAGTGGCTTCATAGCCAGCAAACTGAATGGCGGCGAGCTGCGGGCACGTCTCGTGGAGGCCATAGATCTGCTCAAGGAGTGCGTCGAAATCCTGCAATACGAGGACAAGTGCTCACAAGAGGGAGTCCTATGCGAGGTGGCAAAACAAGCCTTGAGGCAGCTCACACTGAGTGTCGAGGGTTTGGGCAGTGAACTCGATTGATGAAAAAAATGGAATGGTAAATGGAAGGAAAATAAACTTTAATAAAAACAAAAGTTCTTGCCTTACACTTATGTAAAACTAATCCTTAAAGTTGATTACATTTAATACGAACTATTACTGCACATTTTTTGCCGCCCAAGCTACATACACACATAATGTATAAATGGTTTTGTTTGGTTTTTTTGGTATATGCATTACCTTTCGGTTTCTTATTAAATGCTTAAGATTCCACCCTTTGCTTTCCAGCTGCCAGCAAGGGGTAGAGGGGACTGTTTAGACTTCGGTTTGCCGAAGATTCCATTGATTTACATCCACGTTGGTGTTATGTCTAGCAATTGCATAAAGTTCTTTATAAAATATCCGCGTCCGTCTTGAGTATGCTGCCCAGCTGCTCTCCCTAACTCTTCTGTATTTATAATATCATTTCATTATAAACTAAAGCATAAATTAAGTCTGGAATCTGTGTAATAATACACAGAAATCCAGTAACTGGAATCGTGATATTTCGACTTGCTGTGGGACTTTCTGGACTACTTAAAAAAATCACACAATATGATTAAAAACTAAAAACACTCTGAGGCTGAGGCGAACGCACATAAACAAAAGGGGAGGGAATTCAATTTATACGGAAGGAAGGCTATAACGGGGTATGCATATGCGTTTCACAAACAAACACTCACACGGCCTAGACATCGTGGCTAAGCAGGGGTGTGTCGTGGTAGCGGGAGGAGTGATTCAAGCTGGTGCACGGCAGCAGCCACAGTGCCGGGTGACCGCGTCCAAAGACATCTGCCAGGAGCTGATATTTGCGCCGATTTGGCCTGTAGGTGCCCTTCTGCTGTATCGCCTCGACAGCCGTCTCATCGTACAGTATAGCATGCAGTTGATCGACCATAATGGCGGTAACGAAGAGCCCAAAGAGAGCCGAAACCAGCATCAAGATGACAGAATGAATCCTGCAAAGGAAAGGGGAAAGCTAAAGCAAGATCTGGTCACACCACAAAGGGGGTTGCAACTTACATTCTCAGTTGAGACTCAATCACATTTTGATTGCATTCCTCGCACGGCGACACCCAAGAGGCAATAATGAGGCCCAAGGAGTAAAGCGATAAAACGGCCACATAAATGAGAAACTGTAGGAAATACTTTTGATTGCGTTCGCCCACACAATTATTGATCCAGGGACAGTGGTGATCCATGCGACGAATGCACCGCTTACAAATCCGACAATGGTGCGCACGCGGCGGTCGGTAGGTCTCACAGCGAGTGCAGACTGTCCATTCGCTGCTGTGTCCTTTGCCAGCTGGATTGTTCTTGTTTGTGGTGTGCAGATCCGAGAAGTCTAAGCGGTTGGCGGGCAATGGTACGGTACCCGGGTCGGAGAAGACGGCCTTGGTATGGGACATGCCCAGCAGGAAGACAACAGTGTTGAAGAGCACAACATGGAAAGAGGTCCAAATGCTACATGGACCGAGGGTGGAAAGAGATGTTATTATAGATTCAATTACTGGCAATGGCAGCCACTGCAGCTCACCTTCCGGGCATAGTGGTGAGTATAATCCAACGTATGACCACATAGTCAGCATATAGTACAGCGCCATAAGTCATCACCAGGCAGGCAATGCCACAGGGATCGCGTATAAAGACCATCGCAGGGTGGGCCTCGACGACCTCGCCGTCAATCCGCTCTCTGGTGTATGGGGTTTTCTATATAATTTAATTAAAAACCGACCGCGGCTGATTTGTCTCCCCCACCAAAGGCCAGACGGAAAATAACAATTGTTGCTACACTCCCTTCAGGGTCTCTGTCGTGGCCCGTACTTATCAGTACTGGCGTGGGCAGCGTGCGGGCTGCTTGAGCGTGATCTCCAGTTGTTTTCACACCCCTTCTATACTAATGTAGTCGGTATAATTCAAGAATTAACAATTTTCTCAGGATTTTTTGGTTGCTTGAAATTGTCATTTATTAATTTAGTGTGACCGTCGGTGGGAAGCGTCAAAAATACTTTTCCTCTGGAAAATACCGAAAGAAGTCACTATATAGTCACAAGATATTGATATTTGTATAAGTCTGAGATTACAGGGTATATAAAATTCTTTAATAAAAATAGTATTAAAAAGGAAGTAGCTGAATTCAATTTTTAGCCTTGTTCTCCTTGCCGCGCTCGTTCCGGCGCAGCTGTGCATCCCTCTCGGTCATTCCCTCCTTCACCCAAGGATGGGTCATAACATCCACCAACGTGAGCCGGCCCTTGCTATCCTTTCGTAGTAGCTACAAAAAGAAAAATTTACAAAATCAGCGATCGGCTTTAGCATAAAAAGTGTTCAAGTTATACTCCAGCGATCAGTTCCTTGCTGCCTTTGGATAAGTGCGAGGGGTAGTGGATCTCGAGACGTCTGATCTTTTCGTATGTGCTCTCCGAGCTGTTCGACTCGAAGGGCGGACAGCCCACCAGGAACTCGTAGCACAGAATGCCCAAGCACCATTGATCGATGGTATCATCGTAGCTAGTTCCATCTACCATTTCAGGCGGAAGGTAATCCAGGGTTCCGCAGAGGGTTCTGCGCTTATTGTTGGGCGTGTGTGCCGACCAGCCAAAGTCCGCCAACTTGAGATCATCTGTGCCTGTCAATAAAATGTTCTCTGGCTTCAAGTCTCTGTGAATGACGTTGTTCAGGTGGCAATAGTTCAGTGCATTGGCCACCTGGTAGGTGTATTTGGCAGAGCGCGGTTCATCGAAGCGATGATTGGGGGCTGAACGCAAATGCTTGAACAGTTCTCCCTCCGATGCGATCTCCAGTGCCAGGTAGATGCGGCTCTCGTCGTGAAACCATGTCAAAAGTCTCAAGATATGGGGATGCTTGAGTCGCGACTGGATCTCTATCTCACGTAACACCTGCCGCTGAACATTTCCCTTGCGTAGCTCCTCCTTGAACATCACTTTCATCGCCACCAAATAGTGCGAGTAGCGCTCTCGGGCCAAATAGACGCGTCCAAATTTTCCTCTACCCAAGTGTGCACCCATTTCGAAGTCGCGAGAGCTCCATTCGTAGCTGCGGGTGACCCAGAACCAAGATTAGACTACAACGTTTCACTGTCATTTACATACCATACTCACGGCTGTCCATAGGCATCATGGGACATCATTTTGAGGCACATATTTTTAATTGGCTCGTGGTGTTCCTCCGGCACTTTGCTCATTAAGGCCGGCAAGTGATTGCGGTTGGCATGCTTAGTACGTAGGAGTGTCATGTCCCTTATACTGTATTTATTGCGTTTACTAATTTAACTTCTCAGATGACAATTTTTCGTGCAGGCGTCCCTTTATTTTTTTGCGCGTTTTTTTTTTGAATGCTCAAATTAGTGTGGACGCTCCTATAAAATCTCAAATTTTTAAAACAGCCTTTACTGTTATTTTTTACAGTGACAGTATTCCTTGCCGTGAAAAGGTATCGATACAAAAATATTTTTACGTTTCCGCGTCTTATATCAAATCACTAACAAAATAGTATTTGGTTAGTTATCAAATATAACATCAAAGTCGAGGAAAATTATTTAAGATTTACAGTATATTTTGAAAATGCAAGGGCACATTTCGGTATATTTCCGAGGGCCTGTCGGTATATTTTACGATAATTCCGCTGTCACACTGACCATTAGTCATTTTTTATACACACAACAACACACAAATTATAAGTAATTTAAGCGAATTTAGAGCGTATATACATACATTTAAATTAAATAAGTATACTTTGTGTAGATCCAGATTGCTTGAGAATAATAAAGGAAACTCTTCGGACAGCGAAACAAGTTTAAATACTGTATTTTGTGACGCATTAAAAATCGATTGCCCGGAAGAGAGACGAGACCAAAGAAAATCAAGAGCAAAACGGACAACAATACAAAGTGCAATTGGGAAGAACAATTGAAACAATTTAACAAAAAACTAGGCAGGCAGCTAAGCTCGCGTTTGGTCAAAAGAAATGGGAATTTTCGGGCAATCGTCGCCTTTTGACGCCGATGTGGGTAAGTTCGTCGCCCCCTTGTTGCTATAAGGAAACCCATCCACAGTCCTCACCAATTGGATTGTAATACAATCTGGAAAATGCGTGCACTCTAACACCTTCCTGCTCCAGCTCGTTCGTTCTAATCGGGGAGACAACAAAGAAAGCGTGCCCAGTCATGTGAGGGGGATGCAGATGCTGTGCGCAGCTTTGTGTCGTTCGTTGAACTTATTTTCGAAGTTTTCAACTGCAGTCGCTGACCTTGACGTGTAGACGTGTTTGTCTCTGTTGTGCCACCCCCACCTGCGCCTAATACAATTGATGGTTGTATTGATTTTTGCATATTCTTTATAATTAATTCCGCTTCGGTCCGCTTATCTCTGTTCTTGTCCCTTTATTTTGCTGTATGAGTCACGGCACGGCAAACTGCTCGCAATACTGATAACCAGTGACATTTCTTTGTTTCTAACTGATAGAAAAAGCCACCAGCGAGACAAATACAAACGACAACTGGTCCCTGATTCTCGATGTGTGCGACAAGGTGTCTACAACTCCACGACTGGCCAAGGATTGCCTCAAGGCGGTGATGCGGCGCATGGGCCACAACGATCCCCATGTGGTAATGCAGGCGATCACATTGCTGGACGCTTGCTCCAACAATTGTGGCAAGCCGTTTCATCTGGAGGTTGCCTCGCGCGACTTTGAAACCGAGTTCCGAAGGCTGTTGACTCGGGCAGAGCCAAAGGTGTCTCTGGTAAATATACGCAACCAAAAATCAAACGCAGAATTGGATTTCATTGATAATTATCTTTCAGAAAATGCGTCAAGTGCTAAAGAACTGGGCTGAAAACGATTACAAGAACGATCGGGAACTGGACTTGATTCCCGCCCTCTACACTAAGCTTCGTCTGGAGGGCTACGACTTTAAGAACCTTAGCGAGAAGAGCAGCAAAACAGCTGCTGAGAAGGCTGCCAGTTTGCCAAAAGATCCCAATGTTGTGAGCAGCCAGCAAGAGGAGGATGACATTGCCAAGGCCATAGAACTGTCACTGAAGGAGGGCAAGAGCAGTCCCAAAGCGGTCAGTGGAAGTGCTCCGAGTGCAGCGAACACCAGTGCCTATCCATCGCTGTATCCGTCATTCGGTGGTGGTGGTGCCACCAGCAGCAGCACAACAAGCAACGAAGCAAACTCAACCCAAAACCAAGCACCAGCTGCCGAACCGAGAAAGGTGCGGGCTCTGTATGATTTTGAGGCTGCGGAAGAGAACGAACTTACTTTCTTTGCTGGCGAAATCATCCATGTAATGGATGACAGCGATCCAAACTGGTGGAAGGGCTTCAATCAACGAGGAGAGGGACTCTTCCCTTCGAATTTTGTCACTGCCGACTTATCTGTGGATCCCGAGCGCCTGGACATTAATCAGCAGCACAAGACGGGAGCTGCACCGAAGGATGTGAACTCCGCAACGACTTCGCAGCAAAAGACTGATCCCGCTGCCGCAGCAGCAGCTGCTGCCGCCTCTGCTCAGCCAGTGGAAATCGACGAAGCCAAGATAGATCGTCTCTTGCATCTACTGCATGAAGCAAATCCCGAAGATCCCTCACAGGATAGCGACGAGATGCTTCGCCTGGAGCAGGAGGTACATCAAATGGGTCCCCTGATTGACGCCGAGCTGGAGCGAGTGGATCGCAAGCACGCCCAATTGACGCAGTTATCGAGTGATCTTGTCGATGCCATAAATCTCTATCACGGTCTGATGAGAGATGATCGTGCTGTGGCGGGACAGTTTGCTGCAGCAGCTGCAGGTTTCATGCCGGGCCTGGCTGGCTTTCCAGGAGCCGCTCTGTACGGAGCACCAGGCTACCCCAGTGCGGGTGGCTTTCCGCCCCATCAAAACTATCCAGGAATGCACTCGCTTCCCTATGCGCCTGGACCCAACATTCCCACAAATGCTCCGCCCCCGACAACAGCGCCTGCTGGCTACCTGGAACAGGGACAGGTGCCGCTGACTTATCAGAATGGACACGCCCCTCAGATGAACTGTAAGTGCTGGCAGACAATGTTTTATAATTTAATTAATTAATTTATTCATTTTACAGCACTACCCCCTCATCTGCCACATCTTAATCCAGCTGTATCTGTACCCCAGCCCCTCTACAATGCCCACGCACCACCTGTGTCCGCCCAGCAGCAGCAGCAGCAAGCACCGCCGCCTCAGCAGCAGCAGCAGCCAAGCTACCAGCAGCAGCAGCCGCCGTTTGCCCAAGTTCCGCCCGCAAATACACAAATGCAGCAACAGCAATCACAGCCGCCGCCTCAGGCTTATATGCAGGCGGGTCCACCGCAGGGATATCAGCCGGGACCTACACCACAGCAGCCCCCATCACATCTGTATGCACCAAATGGATCACCAGCAGTCAACCAACAGAGCTACGTACCACAGCAGCAGCAACAGCATCAGCTGACTCCACAAGAACAATATAGTCAGATGCATCAGCAAATGGCGTCGCAGCCTGCAGCTGCGCCTGGCTATCACATGCAGAACGATGCCGTCAAGAACAACATTCCTATCTACCAGCAGCAGTGGTAAAATCCATCTTTTGGTTTTATTTCATTCGCCTAAAAAACGAACTAATTTTTATCTGTATCTGTATCCTCCTGTGATCATGACCGATCAGTCCAAAACGATGAAAGATGAAAATTGTAAAAGTTTAACTTGATAACTTCACAACAGAAACAAATCAGAAGTTGTCGAATCTCTTTTTATTTATATCTCCACTCAAGCAAAGATACAATCTAATAGTTAACCAAAAAGAAAATGAAATACTTATGTTCTGTACCCAAAATTAACTCTTCAGACAAGCCAAAATAATTTATAAAATGTTTCTTCATATTGTTTTTGCTTAATTTTGTTGGTCTTTTGGGTAGAATTGTCTATGTCCTAACAATATCTTTATGGAAACGGGAGGTAAATGATTGGAAAAGCGATAAACATACTTATAAATATAAACATATAAATATTCTATATTCTACATTATGAGAGAGATAACTTTTATATATTATGTTTATTGTATGCATTATGATCTGATAAAAAATAACGAGAGATATTAAAATCATTCAATACACTTTATTTTAGTATAATATAGCATTACGAGAAGCAGCTAAAAGATTTCCCCAAGCCGATTACAGGGCAGACAATGGATTGTCATTGAAAATATTCGAGTTCCTGCGCCTTCAGCCAATTTAGGTTTAAATTTTAAAGGCACCATTTAAAGGCCTTTGGGGTACGAGCGCTACAAATGGGTAATGCTGTTCCGTTGCTTAGATTTTTACTTCCGAAACAGTCAACAGTTTTATTTTTGTATTTTTTCACTATATCAACTTTTAGCAGCGGATTGAAACGCATTTCAGACCAGCTTTGGCAGGTGCCTTACAGACCAACAAGTACGAGCACGCGAGTATGCAAAAATGTTTCCAACTTCTCCCACGAAATAAACTGTCAAACCATAAGACAGTCTGAGCCCTGGACTTTGAAGCCAGTAAATAGAAAAAGCCAATGGAAAAAATGTTTCTACGATTCCGCAGCAGTATGCTCGTACTACAAGCCGCCGGTGAGATTGTTATGCATTGGCATAGAAAGTGTTTTTGTAAATTAATTGATTTTACTGACCTTGGCACACCCCCCCATTGTGCATTGTGTGTTCTCTCAGTGTTGCAGCTTCCGTTCGACGTCAAGTTTGATGGCGCTTTGCACGGTTTCATTCTCGATTTGATTATTCCGCCGGCGTGATTTGCATTTCGTGCTGTGCTGTGCTCTGTTGCATCTTTCAGGTCGGATGGCATTAATCAGAAACAACTGGCTCAAGGACGCTTTTGACAATTCTCTCCTGCATCTGTCTGCCCCCGCTCACGTTCCCATTCCTGCTTCGACTTCATCAGCTATTGGCTCTCTCCTTTTTTCCCCCGACACTTGGCAATAAAATCAAATGATGCGGGCACCGTAAAGCTGCGCGCCTTGCCCGTTTTTTCTTTGTCGTAAAACTCTACACGCTACCGTTATTATGTTATGTATCGCATTCCCATTTCTGTCGCTCATTCAGAATCCCATGCAGGACAGGACCCTGTGGCCAGACCAGGCAGCCCGCCCCGTGGCTTTCCGACTGTCGTTTGCGGGTTTTAAAGCGCCATAAATGATTCTCTTTTCTCATATTTTTTAACCGTTTTTTCTTGTGTGGCGTCGAATGGCTCAAATATTTTTCGGCCATGTGCAAAGCGGTGAAAATCTAATAAAAAAAAAACAAAACAAAAACGTTGTAAGCGACGAGACAACTGGGGGTAGAGAAAAAATATTTATGGCTATTTGCATTTGATATTTATTCAATGGTCTATTGTTTGCCGATAAGCTGTGAATAGTTGTTGTTTCCTTTTTAGTAAACAGTTAGTAGTTGGGGCACTAAAAGGGAATGGCGAAGCGTTGATCTAAAACTGTGAAAATGCGAACGGTCTGAAAGGTGCGGAATAAATGTGCGATAAATCAATTTTATCGCAAGTTTGAGTTTAAATTTGGGGATGGATAAACCAAAAACAGCAACAAATATATTCGTATGTACTTACACACATACATACATCTTATGTTATCGAATTGATCTAAAGTTTGTCTCCCTAAATTCTATTTTTTCAAGGCCAATCCACAAAATTGCACCTGCCAATATTTTGGAATTTAAAAAATTGTGCTATTATTTAGCTGCCCTCGCACGGGCGCAATTTTCGCAGCATACGTTAGTGGCAGACAGCAAATCATTTATTTTCCACCCACTTTTAACAAGGCCACGATGCATTTTGTCTGTCTTCTCGGCATCCCTCTTCATTCTTTGTTTGCTTCCGCGGTGATGAAAATTTAATTTTGAAATGGAAACACCCATGAGCTCGCACAAATTGCCCCGAGAAAATTTAAAAGAAATGGCAAGCTTTTTCAATAAGTTTGAAAAGTAGTTGTAGTTGCACAACTCCTGATTAGGGTTTCGTTTTTTTACAGGTTTCTATGATATTTCACCTTTAAGCACACGTTCTTTAACCTCGATTCCATTGGTAGTTTGCTTATTTTGCTTCAAGTTTATCCTGCCTTAATTAACGCTACTATTCAGCCCCAATTCATCGTACCACCACTCAAGCGGGTCAATAGAAAAACACACGAAATCGAGCATTGCATTTGGTCAAGTTAGTGCTCGAGCAAACTATGTACAGTGCGTATTCAAACCATGGATGGCGAGACAAGTGCTTGATTCTAAATCACAAACACGGACATGGACACGGACACGGACACCCACTCATTCATGGACACTCTATCCCAAGCGCAGACCACGAGTATTGACTATGGCTGAAGTTGGACTGAAGTTGAGCCAATGAGTGATTGGAAAACTGTGAATGATTGAAGGCCTTTGTCTGAGTGTAATTTAATTAAACAAATCAAAGTTCTGTTCGCGGCAGTGGCAGGGGGCAGGGGCATTGGCAGCGACAGGATGGCCAGCCGAGTGTTGTTCCGTTAATTGAAAATACGTTGAACGAACGCTCACAAATATGCAGCCGCATACCAGGCCTGGTAGAGTCGGAGTCGGAGTCGGAGTAGTGCGAGTGCGAGTGCCTTTAATAATTAACGGTTGCATTTTTTGTGGAAACTTTCAGATCGTAATATTTTTCGTTTCCTTCCAAGTCCATGGTTATGTCTACTCTTCCCTTATGAACATGGATTATCCTTCATCCAGCTGCTGCTTAACATATTTATACTATACTTTCTACTCTCATGCTGTGGAGTAGCCATTTTTGATGGTAATTGACACAAATTTGTTTAATTTTCATGCTCCAACAATGGCAAGTCATTAGGGAAGTGATTTAAACAAAAGAACTAAACATACTCGTATGTACGGGTAACTATAAAGAGGCTCGCCTTATTGGAAACCTATTTGCTAGCCAGTTTCGCAATTAACAAGAGGAACGAGCGGCGACGACATCCAAGCTGTTGGTCCTGGCAACAAAGTGGATTTAATGCCGAAGGGTGCAAAGGCAGCACAACAGCAGCAGCATGCAAGTAAGTTTTATGCAAATTGCATGTTGCTCATACCCATACCCAATGGACGAGGCGCAAAAAAGATAAATTACTTTTCAAGTGGGCGAGGCAGAAAATTTCCTGGAAGCCATACCCCTCCTCATCCATCCACAGGACCAGGATGTACCTCTTCCACTTCTTCATTGGGCTGAATTTGCAAATGGGGTTTCATTGTCGCTCCACTTTTGGACTCTTGGTGATGGCTTTCTGATTTGCTTGGGCGAAACAAGTTTCGCATGTGCAAGTTTTTAGATAGTTTTTGCCTTCAGGGCTTTCTGTTTGTCAACTTGTATATTATTTGTTAATTGATATGTAGCAAAAAGTTTCCGCCTTGTGTTGGGGGGGTAAGGGAACTCCATTTTGCTTTGAAACTTCCTAATGCCTCAACCATTGCAAAGCTTTTAAAAATTGGATGAGTTTTTCAAACCACAAAAAGTTTGCATTCCAAGCCAGGGTCTGGTCTGCTTGGTGCAAGCTCCTATATCGCCTATTAGTTCTAATAAACGTTAAATAATTTTTACATATTTCACAAAACAATATTAATAACACATATTAGAAAACAACTGGAAGCGACCAAAGGGTATGCTTTCTGCTGACACCAACAGATTGTTCCTTGGAGTCCGAAAAATTGCACACGAATCAGCAAAATGTCCTAACCACAGGACGGGCACCTGGTCTTGGTCTTGCTATGCATTCTGGTTTTGCTTCACTATTTTCTATTCATTTATGCATTTAGCTAATAAAAATTTCGAGTTTTTGCTTAACTAAGTGAAACGGAAAGGTTAAAGCAGGGAGAGAATATCTAGAAAGGAGTCGATGAGTAACAGGGAGCAGACTCAGTGTGGTCAGGGCAAAGGCTTTTATCTTGGCTGACTGTTGTTTGGCCCTAGTCTGTCTGTGGTACAGTGGTACTCATTCGAAGAGTACTGCTAATAAATGGATTCTTACTGCTTCTTACTGCTGTTATGATGAAGAAAAAAACGTAGTTGTTTCCATTTATTCTGGACTCCTACTTTAAGAGTTGCATATAACAAAAGTTCAGTCCCTTCTACAATAGATCCGGTTTTGTGTCCATTGTCTTGCTGCCTAGATAACATTTCCGTCATCCCCATCCTCTGGCCCCTCTTGGCTCCTATTTGTTTGCAAACATTTTTTAAATTGTTTGCTGTAATATGTTTTTGGACCCACAAAAAAACAGCCACGGCAGAGGGCCAGCTCTGCTCCATTTTTCCTTTTGCGGTGGTTGTGGGGGCGTAGACTATATTTCATGCCCATTCCCCGGAATCTGTCCAATGTATGGGTGGAACGTAATCCCAATATTTGATGCTTTTGTTGTGTATGTTTTAGTATTAAAAAATTAGAATTTAAATGTCCGTGCGGTGTTTTGCGTGGCTCGTTTGCCGTTTGAACCTTTTCCCATTTTGGCAGCTCTTTCGTAGTGCCGTTTGCATAGGCAACAGCTGTTGGTCTACGCTGTATCCGTTTCCCTATCCAGTATCCCATTATTCCTATAAAGCGTGTGCCCGCTCTCATTTTTAAATTTAGAATGGAATTTTTAAATTTAATTTACCGTCAAAAGTAGACGTCATTTGCAGTTAGCGATATGCTTATGTACGTATGTACATACATTCATACATATGTACATACCTATTTACTCGTTGAGATGAACCACAGGCACCCGTCGATGTGGCCGACACGTGCTGCACTCAAAAGCAATCGAAAGTCACGTAGGAAGCTTACCCGAAGCTGAAACTGAAATTAAATAACAAACATTACGAAGTAGCTGCA